GTCACGCCCACTAGCTCAGAGTGCGGTACCTCAGGAGCCACACTCTGATTCCTCTTCCTGGATGGAGTGGGGGGTAACTTAACGCTGACTGTGCAAAAGCCTGAGAGAGGGGAGGCTGTTAGGAGCTTTTATTAACGGGGTGGGGGGGAGCGGCACAGACCAAGAAAGTCAACTAAAGATCTTGGAAGAAAATGTTCTCTTGATATAATGACAACTGTGGCTTGCAAGAAACTAGAAAGAACCGTTTGCTATCCCACTGTAACAGGAGTACTAAGCCATGCATTGCCACTACGTGCATCCATTTCTCCTTATTTATCGTGCTCCATGTGGGGTTACCTGGGGTGCCCAGGGGCAGGACGTTCTTCTCGAAGTACCCCGGGTTGCTGATGTTCCCCGCCGGGCTGTACTGGCCCACCACAAAGACGGTGTTCCCATCCGTGGCCTGCCCCACGCCCACCTCCAGCGAAGACTTCCACACCACCTGGGTGAAGTGCCCTGCGGGGAACAGCAGGGGGCGCCGTGGCGTCACACTGGTGCACAAATGTCCACCTCTCACCTCCCAGAGGAGCTGTGAACACCTTACTGATCCATTTTGTGCTTCCAAGAAAGAAATTATGATGATTGTACCCGGCTGTTTATATGACTGCCACACCAGGAGAGAGGAGCTGAGGGTCTAACAAACTCTCCTCGTGAGCTGAGCTTAGAGCAGCCCACACTAAGAGACCTTAAAGTTACTATGGGTGCCTGAAACTGAGAGCCGACAATAAAGAAACACTTACAAACAGGACCCACAGGTTTGCTTTAGTCCAGCTGCTTTGGAATTGAGTCAAAAGCTGTATAAATAAAGTTTAAAAGCACAAACATGAAATCAAAGAAACTTATTGTAAAATGGTATAACACACTAGTAAGGCCTCATTCAGAACACTGCCTACAATTCTGATCACTGCGGTACTAGCCAATGAAATAGATGGTCTGAAAGGCCTCCTCTTGTTTTTAACACTTCTTATGTTCTTGTGAAGAAGGAAACGCAGTTCCAGGCCCACAGAGGAACATCGAGCACTCCCAGTATCCCCCTAATGAAAGGTTAGCTATTAGGTCTGTTGCTCCCATGCCTTACCAGTGTTGCTTTGAAAGCCAGGCCTGCTGAAGTTGTAGTCCTTAATCTCGCTGTACCAGCTGTCCACTGGCTCCTTCCCTGCACCAGAGACACACAAAGGAGAAGAGTATGAGCACAGGAGGCAACACGTTGGAAACCTCCTCTCTGGGTTATAAAAACCCAACCCTCTCCCGGCTGGGAAACCCTAGAACCGCTCATCGAAACGAGCTTGAAGACAGACGTCTGGTGAAAACGAGAGGGAGATGGGATAGTGAACTGCTCAAATGACAGGCGGGTGTCAGGCTCTCTGATTATGAAGGCAAACGAAAAATCTGGACCTGCTACAAAGTGAAAACACCATTCCTTCAGGGATGGCTGAGAGGCATGCACATCACAACGCACGGAGCACGGTTCTGCTGCAGAATGAGCACATCTGAAAATGCCCTTCGCCCAGCGCACTAATACACACGCATGAAACATTTCACACTGCAACCCAAAAATACTCCGATGGCCTGTTTGTTGTTGTCCGCTGTCCTCAGTAAATCGTGAATGAAAGGGCTGGGTGGCGGCTCAGCCAATCAGCCGGTACCTG